GTTAGCCTGATTTGAATTTAAACTAAGAATACAGAGTTTAAACGTGCCAGGAGCAAATTGACTTTAAATATTTTTTTATTTTTCGTACTTGTAAAGTGATATTATATTTTTAAATAAAACTAATTTTACGGATTTTATCGCGTATATTAACTTATTTTTATATTCCCGACGTTTCGGGTGCTTTCCAGCACCCGTGGTTACGGGGGACTGAGTTGTTTGACGTCCTGCTGTCATAGTTAGCCCGGCTATCTTCAGTTTTTTAATATTAATTTTTGGTTCGATTTACGCAGAATGAGCTTACAGTATCTTGAAGTCTAGCAGTGGTATACTTGGGTTTGGATTTGATTTTATTAATTATGGGATCTCAAGCAGATGGCAGCACCCATCCATCTTCTCTATTGAAATTAGGATGTTTTTTAATTTCAATAGCCTCGCGAATCATCCTTGGGAGGAATCGGTGTTCTTTTGTGAGGATTTGTGGTCTATCAAATCTAATGTAATGACGGGGACGATCCTGAACATGTTCACAAACTGCAGACTTCCCGATACGTCGGTGCTTCACGTCAGCTATATGTTCTTTAACGCGGGTTTTAATAGATCTTTTTGTTTGTCCTATGTACGAGAGACCACATTCACAATCCAGATTGTACACTCCTGCATCTTGTAGAGATATATATCCCTAGACATTATATCCCTAGACAGTGTCGATATGGGTAGAGTGTAACGCGATGTCTTTTATCACATCGCCCGTATTATAAGACTAGACCAAAACGATAACAAAATATGTAATATTTTACGTTTTAAAGATATTTTACTTCATTATTACGTGCAATAATATCTTTGTGATAATATTTATTATCATCGTAAGTAAACAATTAAATCGATTAACTTTAGAGCAGGAGTTATTTTTGATTCAAATAACTCCTGCTCTAGTATTATTGACTTGACATCTGTCCAATAGACGGTTTGTGACTGGGGCAAATAATGATTTGTTCCTATTTGGACAAATTATCAATTTGTCTCTATTTGTCCAAAAGTAATCTTCAAATAAATTATGCCAAGTATATGGATATTTTGCTTTCGGATAGACCCTCATGCTTTTCTTGAATTTACACCACACCCACATTATTTGTTTTCTTTGCTGTGCACTGTGTTGAGTTTTTTAAATTCCTTGAACTAGCTTAGTATTGCAAATGTAATACCAATAGCATTTTCATAACATGTAATAAGTGACTTACTACGAAATGTGGTAATAATAAACGAAAGAACATTAATACATAGAAATTACACCTTACATTAATAATGCGAAAATGCTTAAAATGGATTACCGCTGGCAGTTGCTATTTGCTACGCTGTTGTTTGGTTGTATCAAATACAGGGCACCGTCTTATCTCTATGAAAAATTGCTCTGGGTTCGAGACAACGTCTTAACAAATGTAGCGACAAGAGCTTCGGCGTACGGGTTGCTTCTGCCTCAGCACCGCTCCGCTGCGTTTCGAGGCAGTTTTCGATATGCAGCAACTAATTGTTGGAACAACTTGCCGCCACCGTTCCGTAATACGCAATCGATACATAGCTTCCGTCAAAAATATAAATTGTTCCTCTTAGATCAGCAATCTCAAAGTTAAATAGGGCAGATATTTTGATAGTATGTAATTATATAAATAATGTATGAGCGTGTATATGTGTATGTATGTGTGCTTGTTTATATTTATGTATATATATGTACATACATATACATATATATATATATATATATATATGTATATGTGTGTATGTTTGAGTATGTATATATTATTTATTGAAATTATGTATTGAAGCGGTGTACTGCAGCTGGTTTGTGTATTTGCTTGTAACTTGAACTTAATTACGTTCCTGAGTGAATTTCAATGCAACCGCTTACAGTATTAAGAATATTTTATAAGAATTATGACAATATTACAAGAAATACATTTTTGTTATTATATTTGGTTTAACACAACAAACTGCCTTCTGCACATAAAGAATATATAATATACGTATATATTTTTTTATACTTATTTGTGTATTTTTATTTTTAATATATAAGGGTGCCACTGAAAATCAGGGTTGGGGTGCTGTACTTCTGATACATTCCAACATATCCTGAGTGGCTTTCGTTTTTGGAGCAGAGCAGCATTAACGGGTGGATTATCTTTATAATACACCTTATGCATTACTCTTTATTCTCTAGTTCTTTATTATTATTATTTCTTTTTTAATATTATTGTTTGCTTTTTTGTTTTTTTTTTGTTTAATTTTACCATTTCTATAAACAAGGAGTTAATGTCCTGTTTCATGATTTCTATGTATATTTTTTTTGTTTTTTTTTGTTTGTTTGTATGACTACTTAAATGTTATTTGTTTTATGTAATCCGCTTGAGTGTGCTGCATGTGCCAAATAAAATCTGTTTCTTTCTTTCTTTCTTTCTTTCTTCTAATATACACAATTTTTATCGTCAGAAACAGAACTTTATTTTATATAGTATAGGGTGACAAACGAGCACACAGTCCACCTGATGGTAAGTGGTTACTGTGACCCATAAACATCTACATCTATCCTCAATAAAGACTCAAGAAACAGATGCGTTTTCGCCTGTGAGAACTAAGATGGAATGCCTCTTTGCCAGTAAAAAGGGTCTCCGATTCTCTACACTCACCATACGAAACACAGCAGCGTTGAGCTGCTATTTTATGCTGGTATTCTGTGAGAGCGTGGTCCTTCCCCGGTCGAGCCGACCCATTCGTGCTACAACTATACTACTAATATAGCTGCAGCATGGCTTTACCACGTATATTCACTACCCCATATCGTCCCGTGGGTGTCGTAAGAGGCGACAGAGGCAAATTAACCAGGAGATGGGCAGCGGCGTCTTTCTACTTAATAAGTTAAAAAAATGTTGTTGCTAACCCGCCTGCCAAGCGTGGCAACTATGGCAAATACCCTCAAATAAGGCATCTTAGGCCACCCCGGCCTATGTTCAGCTGTGGACTTTTGAAAGGCTGTAACAGTAACAAAACAACCTATATACGAATACGTCCTTCTTCTTCACACATGCAAGCTTGAAGAATCTTCCGCCCTGCCTTTAAAATTCTTCCATTAAAAATACTTTCCTAAGAATGGTTTTCTTCACTGTTGAGGCCACAGAGAATATAACCACTACGTTTAGTTGAGGCTGTGGTAAATTAGGAATTACAAATGCAATCAACAATTTCGTTGTGGGCGGGATCGGACTTGGATCGCTCACATGCTAAGGCAAACCCTTGTATCCTGGGCTACCATGGTTTTCACGGGAACGGTTAGAGTATTCCATTTTAGTCATGATGCATGGAATATAGCAGCAACTCATCATCATGTTGGCAATTTTCAATAAATGATTTAATACATTATTATACCCACTAGTTTATCGCGCCTTGCGCTTTTCTAATTAACCTAACTACGAATATAGTCAAAGGTATATTCTTCGATTCAATGAAATTTACTTACCTTTCATTTTGTTAACTTAAGAACAATTACATGTAAAATTGCGTGTAATCCAACTTTATGAACCTCATACTCTTTAGATATCGGTAAGGCTGCGTTTTGATTATATTTAAATAAAAGTTTCTTTTTACAATTACCTAAATATAAACGAGTTCCCTAGTAATTGTAAAATATATATGAACAAAAATGCAGTACAAAATAGCTTATGCGTCCTTGTTAAGTAATTCGTAGCCGACACTCCCATTTGCTCCAGTTTCTGATGTAAAGTACTTTCACTATCATTGTACGATTGGTTACGTAATCGAGCAAGTGTTAATGCTATGTCAATGTTACAAGAAAAATGCGTAAATTATATCATTTATTGATAATTTAATGGATCTACATTGTTAATTTAGACGTTGCGAAGTTTTATTTAACGTTACACACATAATTTAAATTTTCAAAACATTTATATTTATATAACTTTCTCTAGGACATTTTATCATAATATTCTGCAGAAACCATTATGGAGACCAATGGGAAATAAGTAAACTGGGCTAGAACACGATACAGCCTTCTAATCGATGTATGGGGCACAGGTAGCCAACTTATGGTGAAAACTGGTCCATCACTACTAATGCGTTCTAAACTTGACAAGTCCCCTGTGAAATGTGCTGGCTATAGGTAAATTTGCTAAGTGATGCTGATTAGAGTTAGGCTTAGGAACAAGATTAGCAGTAGACTGACAAATTGAATAATTCCATCTTTATTTTTTGCTCTTACTACATTTTACTTATTGATTGGTTTAGTAGTCGTAAACGTGACTGTTGATCATGGTTTCCTGGGTTCGAATCCCGGGTCGGGCCAAAAAAGTTATTGAGTTTATCTGTCGAGAAATTCTCAGTAGCAGCCCGGAGTCAGAAAGTTGGCAAAGCCTCGGAAATCTCGTAAATTCGTTGGTCCTGCGTCTGATTTCTCTGCGACTCGGTTTGCCGTCCCATAGGACTCTGGCACTATAATACTGCCCTGCGCAGATGGCTATTCTTCGTTAAGATTAGTCGTCGTGACCGTAATTCAGTCTGGAGGACATTATTACTGTTTTTACTTACAGTCAGGTAATATGACCATTGGACTACATGGTTGTCAAAGAAAATAAGGTAATAAGTTTACCCAGTGATTACTTCAACCTATGACAATATAAATTTATGCACTGTATTTCATTGATTTTATTATTCAAGTATTTCTATTTTATGACATGGAAATGAAACACATAATATATTAAAAAAATATATTGTTATTGTAAATCGTAAATGCCAAAATTTTAATATTTTGCATGAAATATAAATTCGACAATAATATTGAGTAAAATAAAAATTGTTTACAATATTTAAAAAAAAAACTAGTTAATTATTTTACGAGCATTATTCTATTTATATTTTTTAACTTATATATAACTTTATATTTTATATGGAATTTTCCCAATATGTACAAATAGTTAATCCTAATTTGTATTTTAAAACTAAATGTCTAATATGTCTAACAAATTAATAATCGGCGGCTTTTTTTTCTTAATGATTTTCTTTACAACTTCCTTTTGGCCAGATCCTCGAGGTGGCTTGCGATTTCTGTCTTCATCTTCCTCAGGATGATCGTAATCGTCTTCATCGATATCAGGTGGATAATCATTAATATCTGGTACTCTTTGTGGTTTCTTAAACTTTCTCTTGGGCACTAATACATAATCACTAAGATCGTCACTCGAATAATATGTTTCTTTGTGTTTATAAGGTCTATTTCTCTTTTTAGGTCGTTGCATTATTTCATCCGGGTAAAAGTTTTCTGGGACAGGAATGTCTGATAATAAAGGATGACTATACTTATTCGTAACTGAAGTATACAAACCCATTTCATTCGGTCTAGACAATTTATGGTCCTTTAATTTATAGCGTTGAAAATATTCTTCATCGTTCTTAGATGAATCACTGTATTTATATGAGTCCGAGTAAAGAAAAGGATACTTTTGTTTTCCAAAATTCATGTCCTCCTGAGCTTTGTAAAAATCAGTTTGTTGTGTGTGTTTGTTTTTGCAATTCGGGTCATGATAGAAATCGAAGTAATTATGAGAATCACTGTCAAAGCCAGTTTCGTCCCGGAGATGCTTAATTGATGGAATATTAGAAAAACCATTGAATTCTGCATCCGTAGAATACGTTGGTCTTTTCATCATAGAATATTCTTTATAAAATGAATCATAGGGTATCTTTTTATTTCTCTTCTCATTTGAAGAATAGAACTCTAAAGCTGCATCTTCAGAAAGTTCGTAGGGTGTTTTATAGTCTCTGTAAGATCTGTCCTCTATTTGTGGTTCAGCGGTAACGGTTGATTCCGGCTTCGCTCCTTCGTTATTGACTGCTGCAGTAAATCCTTTACCAGGGCCAACTAAAGACTCTACATGTTTTGCAGATCCATCTGGTTCTAGCAAACTGTAATGACCTAAAATAAAAATAATTGTTAACTATCCCTTCAAATTTCAAAACAGAGTTTATTGAAATTCATAAAGTTAAAATTAAAGTTACAGCCTATATAGAATAGAATAGAATAATTTTTTATTCAATATACATTACATGTGTGATTCTTATTGAAAGTCATCTTTTACTTTACCACCGGTTGGAAAAAGCCGTCTGTCCTGGGAAGAACCAGCAAAAAACCCAGCGGGACTGGGTCCGGGACTTTTAAATAATAAATAAATAAATACGTCACAGTGCTGGACACAGGCCTTCTCTCATTTCTGAGAGCGTTTTGGGGCAGGGAAATATCCGCCGCGCTACCCCAAATGCACGTTGGCGAACTTCATATATCTTCAAAATATATGTTTTTCTTATTTGTCAGTCATGTAGGTTTCCTCACGATATTTTCCTTCACCGCCGAGTACGTGGTAAATCAGCACTTAAAATTGCAATTTACAATTACATTGGTGCCGGCGGGAATCGAACCCGGCTAACTACCACGGGAATTTTTTATTTTGTTTGAAAGTTATAATTTTTTTATATATAATATCATACCTTTGACAGTGTCACCTTCTTTAGACTCCCATACAGTTTTAACGTCACCTGTCTTCGTATCGGAAACCCCATAACCGAATGAATAGTTTGAACTTCCCTGGAAAAAACAAAATTGTTATACCTCAATTATAACTTTTTAATGCCCGTTAATTGCCTTGACGTTTCTAATTAGAAAAACGTTCTGAGAATGTATGAAGTGATAGCTCGCATGTAACTATTCAGTATATAACATAATAAGACAATTGGTTGCATGTTTACCTGTCATAGCTTATTATTCGGAGTTAATAATGCGTCACTTACCATTTTTATGATTCTCGAACGCTAGTTAATAGATGACTTTATAATATATATTTTTATCATAAATTTATATTTTTATGTGAAACTTAATAATTACAAGAAACATGTTTTGGATTATGGAGGCGTTTTACACACCTAAATTACACACAGATAAACACTCAGATCCAGAAAAAATATCGGTAAACCAAGCAAAGAATAATGTTCCGTATATTCCATATATTGTGAAATTACTATGATACCAGAGGTACTTACTTGATTTAACCATGGCGGAACTTAATAAAATTACAGAGCTTAATAAAGTACTTTTGAGCCATATTACAAGAAAGTTTTAACAGGGCAACCGAGGACATTTAATAATTAAACTGAGTATTCCATAACAGCCTCAGTTAAATAAGATATTTACTAAAACGGATTTCGAATACTACATAAGTCTGTAAAAACAATAAAACTGCATTAAAATTTTTATTTATCTAATACAGCCAGTGTGAAATAAATTCTGTTTTAATACCAACACAAAATGTTGAAAATTAAGAAATTTCGAGCGCAGCGATCGAAAATGTCTTTAATTTTAGTTTTTTCGTTTTTTATTTTTTGAATATCTTTGCTCAATCGATTGACTTATTTGACAATTGATTGATCTAATCAGCTCGGAGTCTCAATGAACACTTTCGAACATCGCCCATCTCGATAGGTAGGTTCGTTCCAAAGATATCATACGACGAAATTTTATTTACATACGTACAAACAGTGGCAGTCTCGTACCAAGGTGAAGCATAGGGCGTCCCGTCCCCCCCTCCCCCCAACTAGATGGAGTGACGACCTGGTAAGACATGCAGGAAGTCGATGGATGCAGGTGTCTCAGGACCGTGCTTTGTGGCATTCCTTAGGGGAGGCCTATGTTCAGCAGTGGATTTGTGAAGGGCTGTAATGATGATGATGACATACAAACACACTCACACACACACACGGCCTGACGTCCAGCCGGTAATAGTCGGAACGGCTTCCTAGGACTTCAAAACGTGGAGATCTGATAAAAACTCCCATTCTCAAAATCGGACCGAAATCTATAATTTCCTACTCTGAAAATTATTGATTTTCAAAGCGGGAAAAAATTAGATCCAGGTATGGATTTTATAGGCAGCTTAACATTATTTGTACTATTAAAGAGAAAAAATAATGTTTTAGCATATTTTACTTAACTATCCTATTAGTTTAATCCTATTAGTATTAATTTAAAATTAAATTCTAAATAAAAAATAGCAATGACTTTCACTAGTGTTCAGAGTAAAGGTCAAGAACTCGCGTTCATCTTTTCATCAAGTTCAAGAAGAACTAGTTGACAGCAGCGCGAAAACATCGGAATGCATTATAATGTCAATGACAGATGCACGCTCACTTTCTTGAACTTACTCTCTAACTCTCTATGTTCATTTTATAAACAAGTTATATATAAAATTATGTACACCATATCATTATAGACCAAATCTCTGCTGTAATAATACACTGTATAATAATATTACAACACCTTTCTTATATGCTATTTTGTAAGTGTCACTCAAATTTACGTATTGGTTAATTTCAAAATTACTTTAACTACGATGCAATAAATAACTGTTCGTTAGGAGAAAAGTGGTTAAACAACACCAACACTTGTCCGCCACTGTATTAGAAATTTCGTAATTCGAGTACAACTTTCGATAAATATTTCTTGCACTCAGCGAGAGCCGTTGCATATCAAGTAGGTTTCATAGAAGTTAAATTACGCTATTAACTTCAACAACTTGGGTATCGTGACATGACGTATACGACAATATAAACTTTCTTTTTAAAACCAGCGTTAGTTTTCTTTCTATAATTGAGTACATATTATAACACTATTTTATCATCTTTAGCTTTATATGTGGCCGTATTTGAAATGCATTCGAGTTGTGAAAACAGCAGGGTATTTAAAAAGATGATATTTTTGTGATACATTTTATAGTTGTTGGTAATAATGCTGTTCTCTATTTAACTACTCAATAACAAGTTTTCTCTTATGTACTAATTTTAAGTACATCATATTTTTAATAGAATATTTGCAGTAATTTATTTCTTAGTTGATAAATAAAACTATCATATTGCCGATCATTCAAAACTATTGCAAAAAAAAATGTTTACAGTCATTAGCTCTATTTTGGATGCACCACGATTGATTCGACTCAACCGGGGAAGAGACATTCTCTCACAAAATACCAGTGTTTTACAAAATAGCAGCATAATGTTCTCGTGTTTTGTACGATAAGTGTCAGGAACCTATCATCTTTTTTACTGATAACTTAGTCTTCAGAGGTGATATCACAATTCGTTTTGATTCTTTATTGAGAGTAGGTATTTATAGGCCACAACATTTACTTGCCTAATAGTAAGTAATTCAGTGTGACTTCAGTCACCCTTACTTGTATAAGAAGAAAAATATGTAAAAGAAAATTATACGCCCCATTTCTAGACATAATTCAACGCCGAGGAGGTTTCACGGCAATGTATCTTTTTAGGAGTTTTTTTTAAAATATTTTTTAAGTTTCACACATCCTGTTTACTAAACTGTGTTTTCCTTCTCCGTGTACGTGTTAAATCATCACTTAAAGTGCAATTAATAATTTCGTAGGTGTTGGTGGGTAGCGAGCTATGAAATTTTAATTGCACTTATATCCTGAGTTAGCCCGGTACGTAATAAATATAATAAGTGCTATAAATATTATCATAAATATTTTATTTCGTTTCTGTAACTGTTGATCCTTTCAGTGACACTACATTTCACTTAGTGCTTAAGCACTTTAGCGCACTTGCATTTAGATCATTGTGATAAATTAGACTATTTGCTAATAAACATTAATAATTTATTACTTAAATAAGTTGTGCAAAATAGAGTTAGTAATGATCTCATCAACATTAATCGTAGCTATGAAACGAAGTATGTAATAATTAAAGTCACTCGCTACTAACATCGCTGACACATTGCGTGCTGCTTCCCTCAATGTAAACAAAAGAGAAAATAGCAAGTTTTTTATTAATCCTTTTACTCTCGAATAATTAATACACAGGGTGACCAACTTTATGACATAATAAGGAGGCTCGTCTTGCCAGATTTCGAGTGTTTATAATAACAATACATTTCCAATAATAAACAGATAAAAAAATTTAATCCCTTTTTGGTTTTGTCATCTATTTCTGAAACACATTAGTAACGATAGTAATTTAGATGAATTATATTGAATATTACAGTACAAAGATTTTAAAATACATTAAAAATACTTTTGAACAATTACATATTTATTATGGTGAAAGTAAAGAACATTATAGAAAATTTTATGGATAGAATACATAGATCCTATTGCATTAAATTTTATATAAGTTTAATTATCTTATATAGTTAAATTAAATAAAAAATGTCCTTGCTACAAAATTATACGGCATACGATATAATTTTTGATAATATATAATTTCTAATTCAATATATCTTATTTAATACTTACTTTATTATTATGTTGATATTCAGACGGATCAACGATACTTGGTTGTTCTTCCCCTTTTAATATTGAAGTCCTCACTAAAAGAACCTAAAATTTCGATAAAAATGAACTTAAGAAAGTTACTTTCAAGTATTTTCTAAACAGCAAAATTTCTTAATTTTATAATAATTGTCATATAATTTTAAATGTAATGAAAATAAAATTTAAGCTTAAATTATTTAATTATTAATTTGATCATTTTTAAGCGCTAAAAATCTTTAAATTCAATGATATTTAGCCATTAATAATAAACAATACTAAAAACGAAAATTTTTGCTTGTACTGGTTTTAAAAAAAATACCATTAAAGCGAGCGCTTTTGCCATGGCGTTCACTTAAGTCGGCTTCGACAACATTCACGAAAGGAAGTTTATACTAATCACTGCCACAAAATATTCGAAACTATTTTTGTTTTAATTTTTGAATTGTTTTATAACTAAATATGTGCGTACTTGTCCATTTCCAAGGTTGGGACTACGCAAAGACGCATCGTGTCGTCCACCACTTACCTATTTATAAACACGCACATCTCACCACTTTAACTATGAACATGAAAATAACACACGCACACTACGACTTATAATTACGGGAATTACTACAATAAGTCATATTTATGAAATCACTAAAATTTATTTCGACGTCATTGACATATTACAAGTTAATAACTCAAGTAATGCCATTATTTTTCTGTTAGCGATATTAAAACGTTAAAGTAATGAATAGCTTAAATTTTAACAAGGCTTTAAAGGATAACTTTACTAAGGTTGGTCATAAAAATTCAATCATTGGAGTACGCCTTTTAAACTAATCGTCTTCTTCTTTATCATTAGGCCATAATAATCCACTGTTGGGCATGGTCTTCTTCCACTATAGGGAGTTTTTTCTGTACCGATTTATTATATTACAACGGACTAAGATGGAATGTATCCAGTTCTCTACACTCACCACACGGAAAACAGCAGTATAAAATTGCTATTTTACGCTGGAATTCTGTGAAACCGTGGTCCTTCCCCGATCAATCTGAATCATTCGTACTACAAATATAATATAACTACAGTATGACTCTACCACGTAAATATAAAATATATTGGAAAAACTTACACATTTTAGAAAGATAGCATATTTCTCGGCTGTGCCGTTTTCCTATGGATATTATTCTTCATCGCCTGCCTAGTAGTTAATGAGCAAGTAAAATTGTTGTAAGCAATGTCTATGCCGATATGTCCCAGGATTGAACTCAGGCTACTTGCACA